TCGTAAGGTTACTACCCGCAGGTTACGCGAGTTTTTGGATAGTGGAGCGACCGAGTCGCCGTTTTCTAGTCATCACAATATGTTATAGTACAGCATAAAAGCTTTAAATTTCTTATAAAGTTAGTCACATTTAATAGATGATTTAGCCCTAAAAAAGTATTGTAATAAAAAAAATTCCTTTTACAATTGTGTAATCATCAGATGGTCATATTTGGGACGGTCTCACCTCGAGGTATATCCAATGTAAAAAATTTTCATATGAAAGATCGTACTCAGGTGCTAACTTGGATTTTACCCGTACTATATATAGCCCACTCTGCACGGTAATTTACGAACTATGAAAACGCATTCATTCAAGGTCTGTTTAAATGAATATAAATGTTGTATCCAGGATTGGGATTCGACTGTCCTGATTCAGAATCGGGTTAGTATATCAATACAGTTGCAATTCTTAATTCAGGTGCCACGATCAAGAATCCTAAAACTGGGTAGCCTAATTCTGAATTAGGACTACTGGATTCTAAATCGGGCGGATTCTTATCTTAGATACAATATAAATGCATAAATTTTTATCAAAAATTATGTATTTAAGGAAAATTTGAAGATTTCATAAAGGAGGACGATAAAAGATATAATTAAGGATTTGCATATCAAGTGACAATCAAAATTGATACTAATTTAGTATGCAAACTAATTTGTATATTTAGCAATTAAGCTGACCCTGTACAGTATCAGTCACAACTTTTTTCATAAAATTTCTCTAGCGCTCGAGAAAAAAATTACAGATTTCTCTTTTGTTTGAAAAAAAAAAATGTTTTTATGCGCGGAGCACAAATGCACACATCGAATTTTTATTCACTACACATGGGTCCCTATGTGATATAGAGTTAGCACTCGATTAGCTGCAGTTATATGTTTTTAGCAAATTGTCACCCTGTATGATGTTGAGTCAGAAAATAACTTTCGGGGAATCATGCTATAACATATTTAAGATTTCATTATATTTATTCCTTCAAACAAACTTTTGTTCCCATGCTAGAGACATGGGCAATACGCTAGCATATAACATAAATCAGTGATTAAACATAGATGCTGCACAAAAAATGCGCGGATGATCCTTGATTCTGATTGGCTAAGAGCGACGATCAAAAAATTAGGCCGGAATTACTCGTAATTTTACTAATAAAATCGCAGCCGCCTATTAAGTGAAAATTGTTCCTGGGCCAATTTTACCATAATGCATGCTTATTTTTTAAAAATTTCTATTTTTATAATGAAAAAATTAAAAAGTCAAATCCGGCCGGAATTTAGTAAACAAT